AACAGAGAAATTGGAAGAGAAATGATTTAAGAAAACATGTAATTTCTACATAAGGCTTCAACAATTCTCCCCAACAAGACAAATCAATATCCATGATTCTCATCAGAATACAAAGAGTTTCTGGAGCCAGCCACGATAGTGTACAACTGTAATCCCAGAACTGAGGAGGTTGAGACAAGAGGATCTTGCATTCCAGACCAGCCTGGCCTACACAGTAAGTTTTAGGCCTTGACTACATAGTGAGACTCTGTCTCAAAAGAAAGAAAAGAAGAGAAGAGAAGAGGTTTCTGATAGGGTAATAGGGCTTCTGGAGATATCATTCAGTAGTGTTTGATAGTCCCATCCTTCAAAATAGCCATGAACTATTCTACTGGTCCCCAAATTCCTAAATGACTCCACTAAGGGTTTGCCATCACTTCAACTTGAAAATAAGAATAAAGAGGAAATCAAACCAGAAGGATGAATCAAAAGCCTCAAGTTTTGTCCTGTCTCTGTTTCCCAGTGAGAACAGCACCTGCTTCACATACTCCATACTTGTTCCAAATGTTCACAGGTTGCCCCAACTTCAAAACAAGGCTGTACTAACACTCTTGTCCTCCTTCAGCCCAGCACCCGACATGGTACAGCCAGTGCCTGCTGAACAATTAATACAAATACTACCCACCTTTCATGTGTCCAGTTGTAATTTCACCTATTCCGGCATCTTCTTCACACTCAATGAGGACTGCTTTTGATTCCTTGCTCATTTGTAAATCCTATCATTTGACACTCCAGTCACACCATGAAGTTTTAGTTCTCCTCTCTGACTAGAACAAGCTTGCCTCAAGATGTACATTCTGCTCAGTAAATCTCTGTACCTCCATAAACACAGTTCCTTTCAGAATGTAAGTACTCAAATATTTGATAAATTTCACAGCTTCACAAATCTACCATAAATACATTTAAACTTGTGACTGTTACTTTTATATGCCTGTGGCCTGTTTTATGTGCTGATGATTCAAATCTAATCGTGTTCTCTTCTAAATATGGCTTCTCTCTTCATAACATGAATGTGTTACCATCTCTATACACTGGGAAATCCAAGGTGTTCACACCTCAGTTATTTGAGGAAAAAAACTGTAGAACAGCTTGAATTCTTTGGATGATCAAATTCCAATACACAGAATTTATATTACTGTTACTTTTTAGAAAAGGGATAGGAGTTCCTCTAAAGCAAGGCAGTGTCTTAATGGGGAAGAATGAAGGCATGTCTGGATCAGTTATTAATCAGCTTCTTAATGAACTTGACTTCCCATGGGCAAACTAACAGAGGTTATCTTCCTGAGAAAGTTTTGAAGCATTTCAAGGCCTATTTAACTCCAGCTGAGTAAACAAATCTCCTTTCTACAGGCATAAGGAGGAGGATACAGATGTAGGGGGTTTTTTTGTTGTTGTTGTTTTTTTAACACTTAAGTTATCATCTTCACAAACCACAAAGCTAGGTTAGGTTTTAACTCAGAGACTGCAGCCCTCTATCTTCAGCCAACCTGACTAGGAACCACTGAGAAGTACCTCAAAAACTAACCATAAGGAACATGTAAAAGCAAAAATCTCTGAACATCCCTTAAGTCACCACTGACACAGAGACTGGTTAAGACCAAACTCAAATCCAACACAGGAAGAAAAGCAGCACCTTCCCTGAACTCTAGATGATAACAGACAGAAGAAAACAGTAGCTTCAATGTACTCTTCAAAAGCAAAAACAAAGGTGCCGGTAGCTCACGCTACTCAGGAGGCAGAGATCAGGAGGATCATAGTTCGAAGCCAACCCAGGTAGAATAGTTCATGAGATCCTATTTAGAAAAAAACCCAGCACTGCAAAAAAACAAACAAATAAACAAACAAACAAAAAAAACAAAAAATGAACCTCCAGAAGCCTGCAAATGCCGTTTCTCCTGGTAACTTTGTCCTCATGTCATGTCTGTTCTTTCATTAGGACCTGGCCAGCACTTCTCTGTCTTCTCCACTTGGGACCAAAATGACCCAAATGTGCATTCACAACAACTTCTTTAAAAATATAAATCCAGGAATTCACAGTTTGCTATTGTCCTTGCAAATTGGTAGCCCAGTTCATTTAGGTTTGCCATGATGGCTTTTCCCACAATAGAACCACCTCTCTCCAGCAAGGAGGCAGAAGCATGGTAGGTATTTTCTCAAGCAACCACGACTTTGCCAAGTCTAGGACTGCCCCTCGCTCTCCGTTCCTTCCCTGAGGCTACAGGCTGCAGGCTGTAGTTGCCCCTGCCAGATAGGAGAGCTGTTCACCTTCCCAAGGACCAGGGTTGTTTCTTCCCAAACATGCTTAAACCTGTTGCTTGTTATTGGGAGCACATGCTTGGTTAAAAAGGACAAATATATATAGATGTTAGGAGGGTTAGCAGTTTCAAGAAGGGATAAGTAACAATGTGAAGGTTAAAAAAAAACCTGCCAAATTAAGTGTGGAAAAAAACTAAGAAAGATTGGGGATGGAGAGCTATAGAAGAATATGTTGTTATAAATCCACTTTAAAGAACCAATGGGAATCACAGAGGATACACTATGGATGCACAATGGAAGGAACTCAAGCCAGCAAACTCATGTTTAGGGAAAAGGCCTTGCCCCTATATCATGATATTGTTTTGATAGATGACAAATTAATATATATTGTGATATTTTAAGCTAAAATTAGATATTGGAGTAGATACATATCACTTTTTTTTGGTGTCTTCACTTGACTCAACTGTTTTCAAAAAAACTAGTCCAAAAGGTTAGATCAAAAAGAATTAACCTAGAAGGTAACACACATGCACAAGAAATTAATGTGAGTCAACTCCCTGTATAGCTATCCTTATCTCAACCAGCAAAAACCCTTGGTCCTTCCTATTATTGCTTATACTCTCTCTACAACAAAATTAGAAATAAGGGCAAAATAGTTTCTGCTGGGTATTGAGGGGGTGGGGGGGAGAGGGAGGGGGCGGAGTGGGTGGCAAGGGAGGGGGTGGGGGCAGGGGGGAGAAATGACCCAAGCCTTGTATGCACATATGAATAATAAAAGAAAAAAAAACTAGTCCATACATTCTAAATCCTTCTAACAGTTGTCTATCAGGGCCAAAAATGTATGTGCATTTTTGTGTATACACCTTTGCAATACTATAGAAATTAATCTATTAACCAATCACCAATATAACCTAATATGTACATATACAATGTTTCATTTTTATTAGTAGATTGATTTGATAATATTACAAAATTATTATGTTCTTACCTTGATCTGTTGCTGTGATTTAAAAGTTTTTGCTTATTTAGGGGGAGTTGTTTATTTTTAGTCTTCAGTGGAATTAGAGAAGGACTACCCATCAGCACTTATACAACATTCATTCCCAGAGAAAAGGGACACTGACAATGGCCCAATAGCTACAATATTACAATAGATAGGAACAACAGGAAAGTAATTATTGATATCATTTTAAAATATAGAGTAAAAGGCCAGCTTTTACATTTTATGTAATTATCACAGACTCTAGCTATTTTTCCTTTTCCTATTGAAGCAAACCCAGAATGCGGCATAGCATTCAGCTGGGGATGAGTGGAAAGGAGCTGGAATTGCAGGTGGTAGCAAAAGCTTCCCTTCATCTAGGTGAGTGCAGTCACAGCACTGCAATGGCTCCTCTCCTTCAGCAACCCACACTTGGTTTCCCTGCAGTAACGGGCAGGTAAAAGTGGGCAATGTTTCTCAAACATGTATTAGTCATTTCCTTGTCTTGATTTGTTTTCTTAAAGCAATATGACAACAGTAAAAAAAAATCATCTACTGTGACAGGACCACTTTCAATTCTTATTCCCTTTCAGTCTTCCATCACATGCATATAGATATATTTTACATGATTATATCCTAGCTATGCAATTTTGTGTTCTAATCTGTTCATTTATTTTGAAAAAAACTGTTTTCATATTTCCATTTATTCATTTACTTATTCAGTGAGCATTTATCAAGGTGCCTATTAGGTTTCAAGCACTATTCCAGGTACCATGAATATAAAGACAAAACCCAGGTTCGTGTCATTGAAAAGCTCTCAGCTTACTGGAATGTAACAGATAATTATAATGCAAAGCATCATAATAAATATATACTTAAAGGTCTGTGTATACCATCTTAATGGCTTCCCAATCTTCTAGCTGGATAATACAACACAATTCTCTTTCATTATCACAAGCACTACTGCAATTAACATATTTTCCATGTATTTTCTTCTTTTGTTTGTTCATCATTTTCTACAGATAAATTCTTAGGAATGGTATCACTGAATCAGAGCATTGTTCAGATATTTATAGCTCTTGACATACCTTGCTAAATAACCTCATATACGGATCATACAGATATACAAATTCACCAGTTATTCTCAGCTGTGCCAACAATCTTATCACCAAATACTATTTTATTAGCTTTTCATAAGTAGAAACTCACTGTTGTCTTAATTTGACTTTTTTTTAATTCTTTTATTCACATGTGCATACATTGTTTGGGTCATTAAGAGCAGAGTGGAACATTTTCACATAGTTAAGATTTCTCCCCCTTTATGAAGCACGTATTTATGGCAAATTTATCTATCATTTATCATTGTTCTGGTAGCTTCTAGTCACTGTGGACACCCACAGTTTATCATTAATTAAAGCAGAAAAGAAAGCTGGTGGCACTGGGCTGGAATTTCAGAGGTACTTAGTACTTAGTGTGCAGGGTTAGAAAGATAATGGCTTTAAATGGCCCCACATTTGACCCCAATTGGTGTGGAGGTATTCCTCACAGAGAAACCATTTCCTTAGAGAGAAAACTCAACTGGATAGTCTCAAGGGTCTCTGAGTTCTAACATCCAATGTCAAGGCCAGTGGGCCTGTGCATCTGCAGCAAGAGCTCCTCATGGCTGGGTGAACAGGTGAGTCAGATAGCCACACAAGGCAAGAAAGCTGCCCATCCACTTGCTTACCTCTCCTACTACCTCTATGATGTCCCCGACTTTCAGCTCAAGTTCATCATCATTCTGGGGCAGGTAGCTGAATGCCACCTGGCATCGGCGCCTCCGTCGCTCGCCTGGATGGGAAAAGCAAAATATTTAGATACTGCTTTTCTCCCAAACTAAGGTTTTGAAGAGAGGCTTCCTAGGCATGCAGGCAAATTAAGCTGACTTATCTCAAATGTGCTCTCTGGTACATGGCTAAAGGCACGACAGCCCTAGTCTCTTAGAGAGGGGCATTAGAAAGCAGAGCAATGCTTCTTGGTCTTTGAAAGCTGCTGGGTCAGAAAGGCATGGATATGAGAAACCAATCCATTGGTGCAGAAGGCAAAAACCCCACCCCCAAAGCACTGGAGCACAGTGTTGCCTTAAACAGTTTTCCACGGATGGAGCTTTATATTTGCTGTTGATTTTTAATGAAAGCTGATGTGATGTGGTAGAGAAACAAAATGGTCTGCTTCTAATGCTAGCAAGGCAGAGGGCACTTCCCCCAAATGTGCAAAGGCAAGGATAAAGTGTCCCGGCCGCCTTCTTACTAATCATCACCATTTCAACATGCTGGAGACTCAGGCTTGATAAGTGGAAGCTGATTAGATTTTAGCCTGTTCTTGATACCGTTTCAAACGTCCCACGAGGGTCAACAAATCCACTTCTGTTCTCTTCCCTTGGTCCCAGAGGATCCATTAACAGGATCCCTGGCTGCTTACACAGAATCAACTGAAGCAAATCAAGATAAAAGCCAGGGCCACACTTCACTTGACCAGAGGACACTGAAGGTTACACTGTTTCACTCACCCAGAATAGCCCAACTGTAAGCCTCTGACTTATAACTGGTTCAAGTACAGACTCAACTGTCCACAGCACATCCACACCACACGTGTGCATTGTGAAGAGAAAGAACATGCGTGGGGGTTGTGGTTGAGAGACAGACAGATTTACAGATATGCAGCAACGGCGGCTAAAGCCAGGGAGAGGTGGATGGGAGCTAGGAATTGCAAAAGACATTGCTCAAAGGCTTCTTGCTCACAGCTGACCACCTCACACCACTCCATGCCACCATATGGCCTAGAAAACCAAAGGGATCAATGACATCAAAGAAACACATTTAGAAATGCTGAAATTCTTTTGGGGTACTGCCTCCAGGGATTTTCTTTTCTAATCTTCCCTGAGGAAGGAAGTCCTTGGAGGGGTGGATCACAGGGCACATTAAGACCTCTCCACATGGCGTTACACCACAGTAGAGGGAAGGTGTCTGCGCTAAATCTATGTGCTCCCTGATCAATATTTTTCAAAAGCCAGTGGCCTAGTTCTGTCTTCTATTTTTCTCTGCCTATATCACGCTAGGATAAGAGCAAGGTTGAACATAGGAAGAGGACAGTTGGGAATCAATATCTTGTCTAATCAAATCTTTGGTGACTACACAAATGATCTCCACCCCTTTGCACAGTCACAAGCTGCCAGATCTTAATAAGAACAAATGTAGTGCTCACAGGCCCATCCCAGGTGAGCAATGTGGCCTGTCAACAGGTTGAGTAGTGCAACCCTAAAGAGGGCCTGACTCTCTCTGGGCCAAAGGACACACTCCACCTTGCTTCTCCCAGGCAGCAAGTCCAGAGGAGTGGTATTCCAGTACAAAGAAGGACAACACTAAAATTAGGCATGGTGGTACATGCCTGTAATCCTAACACTCAGGAGACAGAGGCAGAAGGATCATAAATTCCAGGCAAGCCTAGACTACATAACAAGATCATGTTGTTAAAACAAGCAAACAAACAAACAAGAAAAGAGCACCACCACACACTGCTCCATGACTCCTGACATCACATCACAGAGGGAAAAATCAAGTGTTCTGAGTGATAAATGATACAGAGCTCTCATTCTAGCAAAGAAAATCAAGGTGACAAGGCAATCTTGGTACCCTCTCCTACCCTGTCCCCTTAAGATAAAGTTAAATGACTCTTTAAGAGCTTCCATTTTCTACATGTTATGTTAAAATGAACTCAGACACAAATCTGAACATGATACAAGCAAAATAACAAATGTCTGAAAACTGATGCTCACAACCTCAGAAGCTCCAAAGTCCTAACCAAAGTAACTTAAAAATAACATCTGAAGACCTAGTGTTAGCTAAAGCCATAAAACTTATATGTAAGTTCGTATCTCAAAAAAAAAAAAAACCCTCCGGAAAACATAGCATCTAACCCAACATTGCTCAAATGGCAAATGCGAGAGTGATATTCTTAGAGAAAACACTAATTCAACAGATTCTACACCTGAAACACAATCACCAGATTCCTCTCAAACTAAATCTTTGCACTGGACTTCCATAAAGGCCTGCCAGGTATCAGAAGAATGATGTATTCGCTAATTTCTCTCTGCCAGACTAGTCAATATTTCTTTAAAAAGCCTCTAAAAAGGTGACTTAACTGGTAGCATAAAGTCCTACAAAGCACATGGCCAACATACCAAGAAAATCCCTAGGAGGGCACAAGAGAAGAACTCAGAGACAGTTGATGGCAAAGGCCATCTGACCTGACCCCGAGCAGAAACGGTTATTCCCCCAACATTGGGATGGCTTGTGACCATTTCTAAAGCACTTCTGAAACCCATCACTGTATCTCATCCTGTCAACCACATAAATTAAAAAGAAAAGAACTAGGATGAGCAGCCATTTTGCAAATGAGGAAGCCAGAGCTCAGTAACTTACCCAAGACCACCAAGCTAGTAAGCGGCAGTATTTCCTTGGCCTGAGGTCACAGCTCTCTCTTTAGTCCTGGATAAGCCAATCTAATTCATATCTAGTTCCAAATTCTCTGCAATCTATGTTAACCACTCCTTGCAACACTGTAATATCACCCAGGTCTTCACCATGATTCTCATTATAGGGAGCTCTCAAACTCCAGAACTGCTTCTTTGCCAGGTCTCAGCTCTGCATAGCACTGACTTGAACTTATGTGCCAGTTCTACTGAGCTACTGACCCCAGTGCATGGGGGATGCACGAAGTTGGGAGAAACTGTATTTCAGTTGCATATATTTATCTCTATAAGGAAGTTTAAGGCTGTCATTTGCCATTTTTCCCTCTCCTTGAATTTCACTGACGTTTACTAGTGCATCTTGGCCTTCCTCAAAGAGATAGGGAGACAACAATGTCATCTCCTTTTAATAGCTAGTATAAACTAGAGATAAAAATGTTTGACTTGCTAGGATTTGGTAGTTTGAGCTACCACCTTCATGTCCAGATGAACTGGGCAATGGAGTTCTTAGTATAAATGCCAGTTTTATCATTACTGGCATTACTTTTTTTTATAGAATAAATTGAGTCTTGAAAGTTTGTTTTTAATTATATATATTTGCTAACCATGATCAAAAATATAAATCTAAATTAGAAAAAGTAGCAAGTGGAGAAAATACATGCTTTTCCTCATTCAGGTCAGCACCATTGCTACTGTACTGTGTCACTATGTGTGTTTCCTAGCCAGGGCCACTTAACTCCTTATATATAATTGAAAGAAGGAATATGCATAACACACATGCAGATGTGTATGCACACATGATATACCAAAGAAACTGGAAAAAAGAGGACAAGGCATGTTTGATACATTCCTATGTTATAGCTATATAGTACGATGGCCATGAAAAACACATGCATGAACATGCACTCATGCAGGAACACAGGCATACCCTCAACTCTCTCACTAGGGCCCATAGCCACCTTCCATTCATAACAAGCTTTATTTAATAAAAGAACAGCAGCTAACATTTATTGAGCACTTATTAAGTGCCTGAGATTGTTAAGCATTTTGCCTGTATTAACCCATTTCATTGCACACTGAACCTTTGGGAGAGATTACTGGCCCCCTTTTTATAGACAAGGAGATTGACAAGACACAGAGATGTAAGTATTTTACCAACGGTCTTACAGCTAGTAAGTAGAGGGTATAGGATTTCCAACCAGGTGATGCAGTTCTAGAGACACTGCCTCCCATGCCTCTGGCTGTTCTTAAGAAGAAACTCAGCTCTGTCTTGAGGTTGCAGAAAGGACTAGCTGGGCTAACAGGGTACATGGTTAAAAGAGGAAATCAGGAAGTGAAAAACCACAAATGAGTTGCATTTCCTATGGCTGCAGGGAACTTGGGCCTACTGACCTCTGTCTTAATGAAATACTGCCAGTTTGATAGGGAGACAATACAGTACATTAACCTTCTCTGACAATGATATTGCAGAAACTGAAAAGCACACATGACTCAGTCCAAGAAACAAGACACACACTGATATTTTGCAGCCTTTATCCTAGGATCTTATGGTACGTAAAAACTTTACTAGACCAATTCATTCAATGACCACAAAAAGTGTTACAGATAATGTCATGGATGAAAAAAGTCTTTGTGTCAACTGAAAACTTCCAACACTCACACAGTCTGTCTTTTAACATCTCCCATCCTCATGATAGAATAAAATCATGAGGGCTTAAATCATTTGGCGTTTTAAAGAACTCCATTAAATAAATCAAATGGATCCTTACCACATAACTAGGGAACATGGCAGTATCCTGAAATCATATTGCATGAGAGAAAACATTGATAAAAGTCAAAGAAGAAAATCAGAAGTCTCCCATTTCCAGCATCCAGCATTTTCCCCAGGCTGGGGCTAGGGACCACCTGTACCAGAATGTTAAAGTGCAGGGCAGACCTATTGCACTCACTCACTAGGGTGTGGCCAGGGACCTGTATGTGAAGCTGTGTCCCTTCATGGGAATGCTCACAAAAATATAAACCTCAGGTAATGAATCAGCACCACAAAGTACAGGAAATAGAAAAACACCTTGTGGGAACAGGTGTTCCACCCTGGAGAACTCTAACTCAGTTGTTCTCAATCTCAGCTGCACATTGAAATTACCTGGGGAACTTTCATAAACTATCTGATGTCTTCCCAAACAGCGTCCCTGAGAAACTAGGTCTTCATAGAAAATGGCTTATTCCAGGGCTGGTGCAAGGGGAAAAAAAACAAATGAGGCTGAAATATCTGGTTATCTGGTTGTGTCAAAATTAATGAAATGACACACGAGAATGTTTCACAAGCCTTCCAGTAGC